ATATTTTTAATTTTATAAAAATAAACCGAAAAATACCGAACCTGCACCGAATAAATTTATATGTAAAAAATATATTTATATATTAAGTTTAAAAATAATAATACATTAAATTTTTGCTTGTGCCTTGGAATTATGAAAACGATTATCAGCCAACAAGTAATTAAAACTCAAAATCCTAATTCTCAAACCTATTATGCTACTCTTATCGAAACGAAATTATTTTCATCATATTCACTAGCAAGACACAAGGTACTCTAGCGATTATGAGTAGCAAACTACAATGTATTGAATATGTTTTCTTTCATATGATTTAGATTTATTTTTTTAAATATTTAATCTTCCAAAAACTTTATTCTCGAGTCCCAGTTTAATTAATATCTTTTTACTCATGTGATTTATATTTTCTTTGTCATTGCTTAATTTCTTTTATGCTGTTATAGAATAGTTGATGGATCTAACTCTAGCCATCTTTCATGTTTTCTTAAATCATCTCCATTTTAACAGTAAAAATATCTAGAGAATTTTATTAAGTCATATAAAAGTACGTATGTTATTGCATATACTTCTACTAATGACTTTTACATGACTTTAAAAAATATATATCGAAAATTAACCGAATCGTACCATTATTGAAAAGAAACCGAAATGATTGTGACGGTTTCTAAAAATTTAATTTTGATTATACATAATAAAATAACCAAAAAATTAGTATTGTACAAATTTTATAAAATAGACGACCAAACCGAACCATTTACACCCTACTTATGGCTACTGATTAATTTTGCAGAAATTCTGAGGTAAAAAGCCTCTGTTTTCCTTTTATATTTGTAAACGGAGTGAGAGTTTCGGTGTAAATTTCTTTACACAATTAAGCTAGATACTTAGAAATAAATTTCTTGATGAACACTAATTGATAATTTTTGGTAAAAAAATAAAAACCAACCTTCTATCACAGATTAAATATGGAATAATAGATTTTTCTAGTTCCCACCTAGAGTTTTCCTTTCTGGCTTTTGATCTCGTTATTTACTTAATTATCTTGCAAAAGTGAAATGATGCATCACTACGCTAGCTTTAATGAGATGACATAGAGTCACGGAAACAAACTTTATTATATTTGTGTAGAAAAGCAGAGTAAATGGATGAAAGAAAAGTGGAAAGTTATGTGTGGTAATTTTTGTCTTATCTGAAAAGACATGCATTTACCGACATATTTTTAAATGGGTCCATTACAAAAATCATGTAATACAAAGTTGGGTGAAAATATTTTACAAAATACTTCTTCTTTTTTTTCAACTAAAAATTATTACAGGTCCCAATTGAATCACATCTGATGTGAAGAAGGGTTAATCATTTTTTTTATTTCCTGATCAATGTATTAAGGCCTGAAGAAATCTGAATTCGCGCAAGAAAATCCCATGTTAGGAAATAAAACGTTCTCTAACAAAGGCGACTTCATACTCAGGGTTCAAACCCGAGACCTTTGTGTTGAGATGGTTAGGGTGACAGTTGGTGACAGTTGCACAGATGAAAGCTTAGAGGGTGACAAAGTTAGTTAGGTGACAGTTGTGTATACTAGCAAAATTAATTAATTAGTGAATGGTTAGGAATTAAATATAAATTCCCACGTGTACAGTGGGTTAGCAGTAAGCCATTGTACTCTTTTTTCATTTTCTGTAATATTGAAGATTCGATTTTATCCAGAACCTTCTTCTTCTTATTTCTTCGATTCAATCTTGGCTTACATTCTCCACCCTCTAATGGTGGATTTTATCATGGTATCAGAGCTTGAGTGAATCGATCGAGGACAGAGTAAGTTCATTTTTAGTTTTTTGTGAAGACGATACTTTTAGTTCGTCGAATTTTTCTTTGAGTTGATTTGAAGCTCAACAATGGCGAATTTAGACATCGACAACCCTAGACATTCATTCTCCCTGCAACCATCGGATAATCCTAGCAATGTGATTATCTCAATTTAGCTAAAAGGAACGGAAAACTATTCCGTCTGGAGCAAAGCTATGGTGATTGCGTTGCGAGCGAAGATGAAATTAGGGCTTATTGATGGGAGTTGCACAAAATTTCAATTCACTGAAGATTTGGGCGAGGACTGGGAGCGAGTCAATACGACAGTGTTGACATGGATCATGAACACTGTATCTTCAGAATTGATAAATGGTATCGTATATGCTGAGAATGCTCATGAGGTTTGGTTGGACCTTGAAGATCGATTCAACAAGGTAAATGGTTCTAAGGTCTATAATCTCCAGCGAGAAATAGCTACAATCTCTCAATGTACCTCTAGTATCTCTGTTTATCACTCTAGGTTGAAGTCATTATGGGATGAATATGGTTCTTTTATACCCTCACTCCCAGTTACTGCTGGAACAAGAGATTTTATTGAACATTTAGAGCAACAAAAACTTTTTCAATTCTTAATGGTATTTAATGAATCATATGGAGCAATTAGAAGTCAAATTCTGTTGCAATCTCCATCACATTTGGTTAGTCGTGCTTTTGCAATGCTAATAAATAAAGAGAATCAGAGAAAAGTTTGTGTGTCTAATTCTCTATGAATAACAACAGTCATGGTCAAGAGAATGTCATGAACAAAGGAAAAATTGAAATGCCTCGAGGAATGTCAAACTTCTTTACTGATGAGCAGTATGGCCAGATAATGAGGTTGTTAAACAAAGAAAAGGCAGAGGAGCACACAGCTAATATGGCAGGTAATGATGATTCACATTTGTTGAAAGATTGTAGGGATCTTTGGATCATAGATACTGGAGCAACAGATCATAATATGTTGGATGCTGTAGTAAAGTTACCTGAACATATGAGATGTAATATTAGCCTGCCAAATGGTAAGTCTGTTCCTGTTACTTATCAAGGCAGCTATAATCTTACAGGAGATGATACCATACATGATGTGTTGTGTGTGCCTGAATTTAGATATAACTTGCTGTCAGTCTCTAAACTGACAAGAGAGTTGTAATGTTCAGTGAACTTTTTCCCAACATTTTGTGTCTTCCAGGATCTGTACACTGGGAGAGTGAAGGGGTTGGTAAGGATAAAGGTGGTTTGTATCTACTAATCCCAAGAAAGACAGACAAATATAAGGAAACACAAAAGATTAGAAGCTGTCTTGCAGCAGGAGTGAAGATTGATGTTGGAACCTGGCATAGAAAGCTTGGACATATTCTAGTAGCAGTCATGAAGAAGTTGAATTTTATGAAGAATAAAGACTTCCTAGGTTGTAGTCTCAGTAATTGTACTGTATGCCCTTTGGCAAGACAGACTCGAAGACCTTTTCCTCTTAGCAGTAGTAGAGCAAGTAATGAATTATGTGCTGTTTTGATAATGCCAAGAGCCAAAATGAAACAGCAGAATGAAAATTATTGATGACAACAAAAAGTAAGGTATTGATATCGTAGAGACGCGGCGAACCTGCAACGTGTCAACTCTTGTACTGTACGCGGCGAATTGTCACTTCATCTTCCACCCAATATATCCTTTTTCTTTCATTATTATTAAAAAAATATATTCGTTCTTATCCTTTAAGCTTCTGACAATATAACAACTCATCTTTCCACATCCTTGTCTGAAAAAAGGCTCTCTTTGATTTGTCCGTGAATGTACGGATCTAAGATTTAAAACTTCGTTAGTGAGGACTGATAACGGTGCAGAATTCTTTAGTAAAGAATGTAAGGATTTCTTATCAAGTTCAGGAGTCCTTCATCAGAGCAGTTGTCCACACACTCCACAACAAAATGGAGTGGTGGAAAGGAGACATAGGCACATCCTGGAGGTGGCAAGGGCATTGAGATTTTAAGGCAGCATTCCATTACATTTCTGGGGAGACTGTGTGTTAACAGCGGTCTATCTTATAAATAGAATACCATCCTCAATTTTGAGGGGCAGGTCTCCTTATGAGGTATTTCACAAATCCAAGCCAAGTCTAATGCATTTAAGGGTTATGGGTTATCTGTTCTATGCCACCGTTACAGAGAAAATTGACAAATTCTCACCTAGAGCTGTAGCAACAGTTCACATGGGGTACTCAGTTTCTCAGAAGGGTTATAGGTTGTATGATCTTAAGGCCAAGAGATTCTTTGTGAGTAGATATGTGACATTCCGGGAGAACATCTTTCCTTTCCAATCAATGAAGAAAGGTGTAGACTTGCCATTGTTTCTGGAGATTAATGATGCTCAGACAATTACCTCAAGGGCACCTGCACAAGTAGCTCAGGGTACAAATGGAGATGATGCAGGACAGGATGCAACCACCACAACTGAGCCTTCACTTGATGAACCAACTTATGACACCCAGTTAGCAGCAGTTAATGAACATACCTCTGATGAACAACTTCAGCATGATGTATTGCCTATCATTGATCCTACTATCCCATCAATTCAACTGAGGAGATCTTTAAGAGATCCAAAACCACCAACATGGCTGAAAGATTATGTTTGTCCATGGAAAGCAAGCTCATCCTCCAATTGCATCTATCATATGTCCAACTACTTGGACTATTCTTCTGCCTCACCACAATATCAATCATTTCTGGTAGCCACATCTGAGATAGAGCATGTATCTTATATTGAAACAATGAAGGACCCTAGATGGATTGAAGCTATGAAAACAGAAATTGATGCTCTTGTCTTAAACAACATATGAGAGGTAGGTGATGTACCCAAAGGAAAGGTTCCCATTGGATGTAGATGGGTGTACAAGATCAAGTATAAATCCAATGGAAAGATTGAGAGGTTCAAGGCCAGGTTAGTGGTAAAGGGTTATAGTCAGCAAGAGGGACTGGACTACCAGGAGACATTCTCTCCAGTAGTTAAAATGGTCACAGTAAGGGTGGTTATTGCTCTTGCAGCCATGAACCAGTGAAATCTCTATCAAATGGATGTCTACAATGCATTCCTTCAAGGTGATCTTGAAGATGAAGTTTACATGCAGCTCCCACAGGTTTTGGTAGTCAAGGGGGGAACAAGGCATGCAGACTATACAAATCCCCGTATGGGCTCAAACAAGCGTTAAGACAGTGGAACTTGAAATCATTGAGGCACTGATAAATGCAGATTTTGTACAGAGCAAGCATGATCATTCTTTTTTCACTGTGAGGAAGAATACTAAACTTGTCATCATTCTTGTTTATGTTGATGACCTCCTCATCACAGAAAATGATGCTGATATGATTCAAGAAGCCAAGACCATACTTCATAAGGCATTCAGAATTAAGGACTTGGGCTTTTTGAAATACTTCTTGGGGATTGAAGTTAGCAGATCCCAGAAAGGCATAGTGCTGTGTCAAAGGAAATATACAGTGGAACTAATAGCAGAATTGGGACTAGCATGGTCTAAACCTGCAATTACCCCAATGGAGCAAAACATGAAGTTAACAACAGTGGAGTATGATGCGCATTGTAACTTGAAGGATGGTCCAGCACTCACAGATGTCAAAGGATATCAAAAGCTCATAGGGAAGCTTCTGTACTTGACATTAACTAGGCCTGATTTTGCCTATACAGTACAGACTTTAAGCCAATTCATGCAAGCTCCTAAGAAGTCGCACTTGGAGGCAACACATAGATTGGTGAGATACTTGAAGAATGAACCAGGATTAGGCATTCTCATGAGTGCAGATGGTGACATGACTCTAAGAGCATACTATGACGCAGACTGGGCAAACTGCCCAAATTCAAGGAAGTCAGTAACAAGTTACTTGGTGAAGTTTGGAAAGTCCCTAATCTCATAGAAGTCAAAGAAGCAAAGTACAGTAGCAAGGAGTTCAGCAGAATCAGAATATAAGAGTATGGCACTAACAGTTTGTGAGTTGATCTGGCTGCTAGGAGTTTTCAAAGAATTGGGAGTTGAATTGCCTATTCCAATTCAGTTGTTCACTGACAGTAAAGCAGCAATGCAGATAGCAAGCAATCCAGTATTTCATGAACGAACCAAACATATAGAGATCGATTGTCACTTTATAAGAGAAAAGGTGCAAGAAGGACTGATTCAAACTATGTATGTTCCAAAAGAAGAACAAACATCAGACTTGTTGACTAAAGGACTTGGAAGTGTTCAACATCACCATCTGATGTGCAAGCTAGGTGTTTTGAACATCTTCATAGCACCTAGCTTGAAGGGGGTGTTGATATGGTTAGGGTGATAGCTGGTGACAGTTGCACAGATGAAAGCTTAGAGGGTGACAAAGTTAGTTAGGTGACAGTTGTGTATAGTAGCAGAATTAATTAATTAGTGAGTGGTTAGGAATTAAATATAAATTCCCACATATACAGTGGGTTAGCAGTAAGCCATTGTACTCTTTTCTCATTCTCTATAATATTGAAGATTCGATTTTATCCAGAACCTTCTTCTTCTTATTTCTTCGATTCAATCTTAGCTTAAATTCTCCACCCTCTAATGGTGGATTTTATCACTCTGGTTAAGGATGAAGAAGTACTTACGACTCCACTATAATCCTTATTAGTAAGGGTTAATCATTTGTATATAAGAGATGTAGTAGGTGAATTGATGAAATTCACCCATTTTTAATAAGAGGTCCAAGGATTGAGATTTGAGAATGAAAAAAAATTCTGGCAAGTGATAGAAAATACTTTCCGTGGATCCTATGCAACGTGAATTTGAATTCGTCGAGCCAATAAATTTTAGATACCAAATGATTATACAAAAATAACATTTCTTGTCAACCGCTATTATAGGTTCTTGTGTTGATACTCAACTACTCTACTTTGATCATACCAAAACAACAAATATCCTATGTTAAACCATACATTAAAATAATATAGTAGCAGTTATATTATATTACTAGTAAACCATTTGAATTTCAAACATAGGTCAATAAAACAAGTGACAAATGGCTAATTTACTTCAAAAAGTTTGTCAAAATATGTCGTCTAAATTACTATTAAACCATTTGAATTTCAAACGTAGGCTAATAATACAAGTGACTAATGGCTAATCTACTTTAAAAAATTTGTCTTATTTCTTATATTGACCACTAAACTACATTGTCCTCGACATATTTTTAATAATTTCTTTTTCTTCAAAGTCTATGCTTAGCTTAAATTACCGACTTTGTTTATGGTTACATTTCTGTTTGGCATACTCGGCCAATTTCACAGTTTACTTGGTTTGATAGACGTTACTCTTATGTAATTTAGTGAAATATTGAAATTCTTTCAAGTTATTTATCCAAGAAAGGTTGCTGAATAAGAGCATGCTCCAGCCAGTATATAAAACAATTATTTTTGAAGTTGAATTCAACTAGAAACAAAAAGAGAATGCACATTAAATTTGAACATATTTTACGATTTGAGTCTTCGTCTAGTTGTATTTGGTCGATGTAAGCACCACTGGTGTTTTAGATGTACTGACCGTATAAAGAATGTTTACATTATTAATATATTTTAATTTGTTATAGTAAGTTACTTTGCCTTATTTTCCTAGTGTTTAATGTTCTGGACGGTTGTCCATGGTTATTTTCTTAGATGAATTAAAATATAAATTTTACTGTCACGGACAATGCATAGAAACTAAAATTTATACTCATCAAATTAGAACAATTTTAGGAGTTGGGTAACTGAAAGTCTTATATTCCTTTTAGGGGTGGGCTTAATTTGCACAAGCCCGAAATCCAAATCACAATTTAATTTTTAGTTTAGAATACTTTCTATTTTGTCATTCGTTCATATATTCAAAATTAATTACTACATCACTGTCAGAATACTTTCTATTTAAACATGATCTTACTATTGTTAATTCTTAATTCTTATTGGCTTTATTAATGTCTCCGTTGCATTTCCTTGATAATGGTTTATTACTTGTATGAATACTTTATTTGGATGATTGTTGTGAGAATGAGGAACAATTAAGGCGCTTTAACATGAATACTTCATTTGCATGTTTATTTTTATAAGAAGAAAAAGCAATTCAACTTATAGGTTCAAAATCGAGAATCCGAAATATTCAAATTGATTAATCTGAAATGGAACTTAAAAATATGATCCAATCCGAGCTTATTTGGATTTTTATTTCTTCAATCCGAAAATCGAAAATCCAAACTGAAATTTTCATATCCAATCCAAACTACCCAAACGCCCGCCCAGAGTTCGTCTTGTCTAATAGTCTGTAACTTCGTATTTATCATTGATTTTATTATTTATACGTAATAAATTGACTTTATAGCTCTTGTGGATTGTGAGTTGCATTCATATTATATCTCAGGAAAAAAGTGTCTTATTTTATATTGGTCACTGTCAACACTTCCTTAACCAACAAAAACACTAAACTACATGTCCCTATTACTTTTATTAATATTCTTTTTCTTCAAAGTCTATGTTTACCTTAAATTATATTAGACTTTGTTATGGTAGCATTCTGCTTGGCATATATACTCGGCCATTTTCACGGTTTACTTGGTTTGTTAGACGTTAACTTATGTAATTTAGTGAAGCATTGAAATTCTTTCAAGTTATCTATCCAAGAAATGCTGCTGAATAATGAGTCAGTACATAAAACAATCATTTTTGAAGTTGAATTCAACCTGAATCCAAAAGAAAATGAAAATTAAAGTTGAACAAAATTCACTTTTTGAATGGTATTGGTGAAATAATATGGATTAATTAATTTTGACCCTTCAAAATATAAAACCATATTATCCATTTATCTACCCGTCTTATCTGATGTCAGTAATTAGCCAATGAAAAGTGTGATAATTAAATCAAATTAGAATTATTTGGAACTAAATAACAACTCCTCGGTTTCTTCCTTTTTTTAAAAAAATTATTTTTATGTTCGTGATGAACCAACCACACTACCACAGTCCATAGTGTATTATGTTGTCGTTTGACTTAATGCAACTTTTAAGAGAAGCATTACATACTTGGAAGCAATCAGAGCAAAAGCAAATAGAGAATATTTAAGAATATTTTTCTATAGGTAAGTCCCACAATGTAGATTAAAAGGAGAAAAAACTTATAATATTTAAAAAGTTAAAAAAATTAATAATTTAGAGGGTAAAATAAGTATTTGACAATCAAAAATTTGAAAAAATCTGGTTGAGTGACTTTCTGAGTGCTATATACATAATTAAATGACTTTGTTGTTACGAACGAAAAAAAAATAACTTTAATGAATAATTTGGGATAGTTTAGTGGTAATGAACAACCAAATGAAAATGAAGTTGATGGCTGAGATGGCCACTAAATTTTAGGTAATTGGCCACTAAAGTAAAAAATCACTAATATTTACCTAGTTCACTTATTTAACCGAATTTTGTACTTTTTGGTGAGATTTAGTAACATGCTAGTATTGGCATAAGATCAACTTGTGCTCATTTAAGTTCTAATATTTTACAAGATTTCTCGGGCATTTTTCACATTCACTCTTATTTTTTTACTTATCTATACTACTTTTTAATACTTATTTACCTTCAATATTAAAGTTTAACTTAATTATAAATTGATATACAATTTATCATTTATATACCATTTCCCTTACCTTTGCTATTTGTTCTCAGATTTCCATTACTCCGTCACTTTGCTGCCGATTCAAGTTGAAATCTATCCCCAAAATATGAATTGGATATTCCAGAATAGTTAGTATAAAATACACTAGCCCACTAATTTTGCCAAACTAATATAAAATTAAGAGGTTTTTTCTTTCCTATACACTATATGAAACTTTATTATCAAAATTGTCCAAGTTTTGGAAATTACCCGCTCTAAATAAGTTTTGCTTACAATTTATATACAATCTATTAGTAGTGCCTTAAATTAGGGGATTAAGTTACACAATTTTTCTTTTTCTCTCTCCTCTTCTCTTTCCCTTATTTTAAAAATCCCTTTATTTATTAATGAGGTTCTTTTTAACTGATGCGGTCCAAAGATTTACTTTTTTAAGAGTATTTAATTGATGGGAGGACTGAAAATTTATCAATATTGATTGCTAAGTACTATTACTTGCAGCGTATTATTTTAGGAGTGTTAGAATTTATTGGAATACCATTGCATTTCGTATTTTTTATTAGATGGGGTGTTATTTGACACTGATAATTCTGTAGTTGCTAGCGTTTTTATTCTTCACTGATGTGTTTTAGTCATTTCACCCATGTGGCGTTGTGTGTGTGTGTTGGGGGGGAGGGGGGGGGGATGACTTAAATTTTTGGTCAAAGACAAACTCGAAATTTAAGTAAAATGTTCAACGCCTTTATTTCTATCGATGTGATAAATGTGTATCACAACAACAATATAAACTTGATGGTGATAAATTTGTATGATATATCAACATACAAATTAAAAATAAATTTCGTACAAATTTGATACATCTACAACAGCATATAAACTAAAAATAATTATATAATATACAACTTATTTATAATTTATCTACAATTTTCATACATCATTTCTACCCAATTAAATACAATTACAACATCATACAATTTAAATACAATTTTCATACAAATTTTATACAATATGTCTTCTATATGTATTTTGTAAAAGATTTGTATATATTTTGTATATAGTGTGTTCTTCTTCCTCTCTGAAATTTCAATCAAAATTTCCTCCTTTAATACAATTTTGATACATATCAACAACTTCATGTAAAATGATATTATTTATTACTTAAATATAATTTTCGTACAACGATTCATACATTATATGACTATTTTTCAACTTTCATACAACATTCAAATAAAATAAAAAAATATATAACTGCAATAGAATACAACTTAAA